GGAAATAACCTAATCCCAATTGCCACTATTACTTACCTAAATAGGGGGCCTAGAGGCCCATAACACATTGAGAATGGGTTTTATTTTTATATTTTTTATCACACTGTATAAAAAGGCAAAACATGCACATTACCTTCAAAAATTGTCATATTGAAACAAATTTTCATCTAAAAAAATATTAACATAATTTACCATTATAAATTTTCAATTTTAAAAATTTAGTCTAAATTTAATAGTTACTGTCAATTTTCTATTAAAATTCAAGAGTAATTGAGACAAGGAGAATGAAGATGAGATGAAAGATGAGGAAAAATGAAAATTAATTGAATTATGATATTTAAATTATTATTTTGATTGTTAACAATAAGGTAAAAACCCTTATTAAGCCCCAAGACTTGTCTCAAATTAGCATTTAAACCCCTGAATTAAAATGATGCAAATAAGCACTTCCAACTCCTAGACTGGTGCACATAAGCCCTCCAACTATATATGTGATGAAACTTGAAGCAGAAGTGTCGACACATAATTTTTAGTATTGACACTCTAAGTAATTTTCAGTTTTAAAAACTTAGATTACCCGATCTTAGTTTTTTTTCTTAATAGGGTTTTCTTAAAATGGACCAAAACTTGGAGTTCAATTTAAAATAATTACATATCTCCTCATAGATAAAAGCTAAAGATACTAGCATCATAGAACCTTCTTCCTACATTTGTTTCAATCTATACAGCAATCCTTAGAGCAACAACCTCACATTTGCAGCACCTTAACCTGCCCTCATACCTATTGTCTGCTTTAAAGAAACCATTTTTTTGAATAGAATTGTAGGTGTAGGTGAGGAACTTTGAGTTTGAGATTGTGATGAACAAGAACAAGGCATGCAAAAACCCTATGTTAATTTCAATTTCTAAAGGATAAAAGTGAAGGATTTTTGGAGAAGAGAAGAGCATAAAACGAGGGCAGAAACCCTAATTAACCTTCTAACTTAAATATTAGCTTTTTTAATTTTTTTTTTTTTTAGAGTTCTTAGGATTTTTGCCCCTTTTTCTCTACATTAGCATCTACATCTATGTGGAATAGTGGAAAGGAGAGAATGAATAGAGTCTAAGCATGTTAGATTACAGTCGTTTAGGTTGTTAGTGATAAGGGCTTATTTGCATTAGTTAAGGAGTTGGAGGGCTTAATAGCACTATTTTTAGTTTAAGGACTTAAATCCTAATTTGGGTAAGTCTAGGCGCTTAAGAAGGGTTTTTGCCTAACAATAATTGTTTGGAATGTCTTTGAATTTTGATTAGTTTAATCTTTATTTAAACTTGAATGTTTTATTTTGTTTAATTAAAATTTGAACATAGAATTAATATATAATCGAATAAAAATAAGGGCTGGGCAAACGATCGGTATTGTTTGTTGATTGCTGATTTACATGATAATTGCATAGTTGCAGTAATGGAAATCCAATACCATTGCGGTATCATGTGATGGAAGTCAACAAGCGGTTACTGACCAATTAGCATGGTAATTCAAGGCAATTCATTGTCATACTGCACTACCAATCTCCATTCTCTCTCTCTCTCTCTCTCTTTCTCTCTCTTCCATAGTTCAGTTCTTCAATTTAGTAGTTCAATGTCAATTCCAAATTCCATATGATTAATTACAAACAAATATGTAATAGGTTTAAAATCTTCCAAAAATAAAACCTGTGAACTTTCAAAAGAAAGAAACAAGTTAGAGTTTTGAGAAGTTTCAAAATTGGGATTCAATTTGTAATTGAAAAAAAAAATTGGGGGAAATAGGTTTTACTCACAAAAAAAACATAGATCAAGTTAAATCCCCACACAAATAACCCAAAATCTTTCACCTAAGTTTGGTTTAGGGTTTTAATTTTGTGAATTAAAAACCTTAAAACAGGCTTTAACTACTAGAGATCCTCGTTTCTTTGGTTCCAAT